GGAAAGAGGATAGGATATACACACTGAAAGGGAACAGAAAGGCAGACGCTGAAGAGAGAGAAGAGAGAGGCTCAGAAATGCCGCCTCTCTGTGCAGGAGATGACAGAAAGCAAGTAATAAGTGGGGTAATGAGGAGGGCAGTGCTGCAGCCACAGCCTGATGTGGTTCATCAGCTATGATTGTCCTCCCCTGCAAGAATTGCTGCAGACTAACGTTAGAATTGCTCAAGTGGAAAAGAAGCATGGGCTCTAGTTTGACACGCAGCAACAACGCAGGTGGTCTGCTGCGGTGTTTGGTCAGAGCCGTGCATCGGGCCAGCATGCTGCACCCCAAGAACACGCACAGAATTACCATGTAGTCAATCCTAACGGCCTCGCAGAGACATCCTTCGCAGTTGGAGAAATCCTCCTTCAGCAAGTAAGTCTGGGCCAGTGCCAGGTAGTATGCACAGGAGGGACCTCCCTGAAGGCTCAGCAGCTCGTGGGCGAGTGCCCTGTGAACAAACTGTGGAGGAACGGCCCACCATCACCATGAGGAGAGCAGGCAAACCATGGGCACCTCCAGAAGGACAAGGCAGGAGGACTGACTCAACCCTATTTGACTTCCATGAACAGAAAACAGACAGGAGATTTTTTTTTTTCCTCCTCCTTTGAATATTTACCTCCATTCTAGTTCTGTTTTGCTTTAAGCAACTCTTTCTGCCATGTAAAATTAAGGCAGGCAGCATAATGTGGCAATCAGAGAGATCCCACAGAGATGACTGTGTGGGACAGGGACATTCCACAGGTGACACAAAAATTACTGTGACATATACAAGTGTCTGAAACAAGAAAGGAGTACTGGCATCTTGGAAGCGTCACAATAATGCATCTCATCTCTGAAGGTACAGAGAAGAGCACATCTGGACCATTTCTGACTTGGCTGTTCCTTCCACAGCAAGCAGTGCTGAGCTGAGGCACCCCAAGAACCTTTCCTGCCTGAGATGACCGTGTCCACAACCAGCATTTTCATCTGAATACTCTGCCTGGCCACAGTTTTGTATTTCTGGGCAGTGGTGGTTTTGCTCCCTCTTGCGCTCAGCATCTGGGGTAGCCACAGCTTGTTCTCTGAGCCCAGGAAGGGGGCTTGCTGGAGCCTGCCACCAGCTCTTTGGAAGTAACCCAGGGAAGGAGACCAAACCTCCCTGCCCTCTCCTCCACTCTACGTTGAGCTTACCTGGACAGCATTGACTTTCATCAGGAATTCCACTGCCTTCATGAAGATTGTGCAGGGAGGTTGGCTAAGTCCAGAACCAGGGGATGGTGCTGCAAGAAAACGTGTCTCCATCAGTCCCAAAGTGGGCTTTTTATTTCTGAAGCAAGAGCAGGGCCTGAGACCCTGGCAGGGACAGAGGAATCCTAGCAACATGGTGTAAAACCATGGGGGGGAGGCTGAAGCAGAGATTAATTCAGCATTTCTTTCTGAAGGGCTTACGTTTTGTGAGAGATGTGAAAAGAAACTACGCTCTTGACCCACTAATTTTCCAGTCCAAACTCAGAGGAAGAAAAGGTAGGAATTTATGATTAGAGCTTGTCAGAGTTAACTACAGCGAGGTCCCTGGCTCCCCAAACCAACCCAGCAGGCCCTGAAGCACCCAGCCCTGCCCTTCCTTTGCCACCCATTGGAGAATGGAGCTGCAGAGGAGTCAGATCACACCACAGATGACCAGAGGAGATCTGTAGGGACAGTTCAAGAGCTGGCATCTCAGGAGGGAGACATCCAAGCAGCAGATGAAGGCTGCTGGGTGCAGTGACATGTAGGGAGGGGGCTGCATTCACCCACTGGCTGTCCATCCTGAGATGTGCTGCTCTGAAAATCAGGATGAACCTGTTTTGCCTGGAGATTCCCACCTAGGGAGAGAGAACAAGCCTTGATGTCTCGCCTTGGCATCAGGATGGCCACAGATCAGTGATCCCAAGTCATTCCCCTCCCCACTGATGGCATGAGGCCATCCCCCAGCGCTGGGCTCTCCTTTACATGCCAGACCCCCATCCCCTAACCTTTTGGGGGTTCCTCCGGTGCAGTAGCTTCTTCCTCGAGTGCCACGCAGACCAAGGCAGGCTCCACCACCTCTGGCAGTTTGTCAGCTGAGCCATCTGGAACCCTCTCTGGAATGAAACCCCAACAACCATTAGGTGCAAATAAAGAGTTGCCATAAGCTGCCCAGTTTGGAGCATGATTTTGTAGAAATGGGGAAGAGAGAAAATATACAAGATCTATCAGATTTTCAGAACTGGGAAGAAATTTCTTTGCAGGAGGCAATACTTAAGTCTGGGGTTTTGAGCACAAGATTACCATGTGAAGCTAGAAACAGGTATAAACGAGGCAATATCCCTTCCCTTATAATGAGAGGGGGCAAAAAAAGGCCTAAGACACGAGGCCTGCCTGCCTGAGGCACTTTGCATGGAGTGGTGATAATGTTAAAAATAAAGCCACCCAATGTTTCCCACAGCCTGGCCAAATATTTGGGACTCGGGATGGAAAGTCTTGGCTCAGGGTGAGGCTGGACTCAGCAAGGCTCCCAAGGAAACCTTCGGTTCAGAGTCACCACCGAGCCGCTGTTTTGCCCTTTGAATTGGTGAGGCAGTGCTTTCCAAGCTAAAACTGGATGACCCTAATGTACGACTGTCACAGGGGCAGCTCTGCCCTCCCAGAGCCTCACAAAGCATGCTTTCTTCCTCCAGCCACCCTGGCCCACACATCGGTATATCAGCGGCACTGGGCTGGGGCACAAAAATAAACGCAAAGACTGGTCCCTCTGCTAGGCTGTGGGTAAGACAAGGCGTCAGCTGTGCTGCTTTCAGAAAGGTGCATCATTTAAAGCAGCATGCTTGCCACTGTTGTCTCTCGCTGGTGTAGTTTGTGATCGGTCTATCCTAGCTCACAGTCCACATCTTCTTCCTTTACTCTTTTGTATTTCTCCTCTTAGAAATACTTAGAAATTTCTCCTCTCCTTCCACTGTTCACCATCTCCCACACTGCTCCGAGTCCCCTCCTTGCTGGTGCTAGGGTACCTCCTGGTTTTGCCCAGCATTACCTGGCAAGCACCCTTCTGGGCTGGGGCTGGAAGACCTCACACACCCAGCAGAAATGTGCGTTTCCCCTGCTTCTCCCTGGTACCGGCGGTGAGCTCGGACGGTACCGGGAGGGGAGCAGCCGAGGGCAAGAGCTTTTTCCCGGCCACATCTTCATACGTCCTATCAGCAGCCTCAGGGATGCTCCTCTCCTTGGCAAGCTGTGCTTGCAGTAGCTTCTTACCCTCACGGAAGGCCATTTCCGCCTGAATATTATTATTCTGCAGCTCATAAAACAAACCTATGGGAGACACAAAGAGCAGCATAAGCAGACATCCGACCCTTCGCAAAATCCTTCCCTTAGCCCTCAGATCAGAGCAGGGAGAGGAGGATCAGGGGCAGAAGCACTGCTTGACTCTACAGGAACACCTTGAGCGCAGAGGCTGGCTTGCTTTTGTACCTGAAAGCATCCAGGCTACAATGCTGGATGGCTCCAGGCGGCAGGCATCCTCAAAGAAAATCTCTGCCT